GGAAACTTTATTATAATTATTTATAACATCAAGTGATGTTCCAGGGCAATACACTGTAGGTGTAGGCTTAAACCCAGCAAAATCAATCCTTAAGAAAAGATCCTACCCACTCTTATCTGCATAAGAGATTATTAATTATAGTTTATGTTAAAAAGTTCTAGAGCTTTTATTTCCCACATGAAAGATATTTATAGAAATGACCCCAGGGCTTTAACGTATGCACCATTAATTTTAATTTGGCATGAACAGGGTCATTGATGGTTTTTTTTTTGTCTTAAAACAATGATGTTGTTTGTTGATGCAATCAATGTTCACTGAACTGCAACAAATAATCACTAGCTCTTGAAAACTATTCACACAAATCGCCAACAATCATTGGTAATAATTTTTTTTTCTTTTTTTTTTTTGTGGTTTAAAAGCTAAATTCAACATGATCTTTGTGGTTTCATGATCTACATAGTATGTATTCTTCTAAAGTTCAGTAAATGGATGAGTAATCATAAATATTTGTTTTTAAAAAAGCTTGACAAACAATGTAAGTTTTGTCAGTTTGAGGCACAGAGTGCCTGTAGATAAGTTTAAATTAAATACACACTGAGCTATGTCTCTTACATGTCATAGAGATTTGTACACTTCAACAGAAATCTAGTCTGAAAACTACAACTTCATGTAAGCTCACACAATAATTTTTATGTTCAGAACTTCAGCCATTAAACATTATTCTTTACTGGGAAGTTAACTTCGCACTACATGTGGTTAATTAAAAATTAATCCTCTATTAAATCAAGTGCTGCAAACTTAGCCAACATAAATAAGACATATTTAGGCTGACCTTTTAAATGTTTTAAATACAATTTTAAAAGGGAATTAATAATAAAAAGGCCAAATGATGTTTCAATGACCACATGTCATCATTAGCGAATGTGAAAAAAATTAACATAGGTGACATGCGTATATATACAGAAATTAAATTTTATGTAATATGTTAAGCACTACCTCCACCCTGCTTGAAATTGGCATTTTAATCATCTGTAAATCTTAGATAAGCATCAACATTTTGAAAATTACATGTGCAGAGGAGGCAAACAGGAAGTTTCACATCTGGAAATATCATTAATTCAATATGCAGCTTGAAAAACTTACTTGTGTCAGAGACACTTTAAGCTCAAGAGGGTTTTTTGCTCCCAATGATCTAAGTAAGTATTAGTAACACTTAATGGTTACGTTCCCTCTGTAAAAGTTATTTACCTGTTTTGGATTTCTTTTAATACATTGTCATAGTTTTTTAATGCATGAATAGTTTTTTTGACTTTCATGATGAATATGTATAGAAGGCTAAAGATCATGACATGTGATCCCATGGTGCATGGACTACCACCATGTGCATAGTTATAACTATAACCAACTGCAATTTTATTTCACTGCTAAGTATTCTCAAAAAGCAACAGTTCTTTTTACAAGTCCTAGAAAATATTTTATTTCACCATTCTAGTTCAACAAGAGGTTCTTTTGGGAGGCTGTTCGTGTTAATGTCTTCACTGAGAATTGACTCAGTTCTTCTCAAAATTACATTACTTTTAACAGGAAACCAAGCATTCCTCAGGTTTGAGTTTTTCAGCATTTGACAAAGGGACAACCAGGATTTATTTTTAATTTTGAGCACTGATCTCTACCCAATCATAAAAAATTTAATTGGCCATCTTTTTATGGGATGTAAAATAAAAAGAAAGACATAAATACAAAAGAAATTGCATCAAGTCTAAGGGATAAATAATCATTTATACATTTCTTACTTTCCATTCCTCTAAGCACTGGTATGGTATGCAATTTAAAATAGTCAAAACATATCACAAAAAATCAAATATACATATAATTGGTGTCAGATGTGAGTGAGCAAATGTTATTAATTAAATTATCATCACAAGATCTCTTGTGGGAGAAGCTGAGGCTGAGATCTGATCTCATCTGATTTGTATTATGTGATTGCCTGTCAGGAGTGTGGCTAGTAAGACAAGAGCACATGGCTGGAGAATGTGAAACAATTTCATTTTTCCCTTGATCCAATATTATGAAGCTACATGTATCTGAGTAAGCAAATTTTTGGAGCAAACAAAGCATTACTTTCCAAACTCTCCAGCTTGATCAGTCATTCAAGTTCCCAGGGGTACTCTCTTTGGTCTGCTAATTTATTGGGGTCAAACCCGGTGGAGCGGGGTACTTCCTTATAGGGGCTATAAAGGTATGTGCAGGCCCAAAGGGTAGGGTTTCAGCCATTTTGGGTCATAAACAGAGTATCGTTTTTGCCCATTTTGGTTATAAATAGGGTATGGTTTTAGCACTCTAGTCTTCAATTGGGTATGTTTCTTAGAAGAAGCTACTATTTCATCATTATCAATAAGACCGCCAACAACAGCCCTTCATAACTTATGTTTAGGGCAACTGTGTCAGCCACGACAGTCATAAATAGGCTATCGAATTTTTGGTCAGGTCATAGGGTCAGGGTTTTGGGAAGTAGGCCACACACCCCACCCAACTTTTCTGGAAGTACCCCCCAACCCAAACAACCAGTCAAACAGTCCTGGCATTTACATGAAAACTGGTAAAATTTTTGCAACACTGTGCTGATGATGAACCAACAGCTACACTGATTATTTCAGCATCTTTCAATTACACAGCAAATGTGCCACCTCAGTTGTCTTGGCAGACATCTCAGGAAACAAAGGTTCACTCCTAATGAATGCATGGTTTCGAAAGGTCATTTCTATGGGTTGTTATTGATAGATTACAATCCATTTTGTTGATTGAAAGACCTAGCAACTTAGTGAATTGGTAGACAAAATGTGAAGTATATCACATGTTAAATTATTGTCATGAATCTTTGAAAACTCTCTAATTAACCAATTAAACAAAATTAAAAAGTAAAAGCACATTCTCATGAGAACTGCAAAGAGTAGAGACAGCAAACCACTGAATAAAATCAATAATTTGTATGTACTTAGGCCAAAATATGGGCATAGAAAATTTGTAACAATTAATAAAAGCATAAAATTGTAATAGTACTACATTTGTACACTGTATGTAGCTCTAACAACAACTTAAGTCATGATATCCAATTGTGGAAAAATGCAGATATGTTTGTCATTAAAACTCCTTGTCAAATTAAAAATATTATGTTAATTAAAAAATAAAGATTGCTGTCCTCCTTGATCAAAAATTCAAAAAAGGAATTTCCAAAAACATGTCAATTTAATACATGTATATATACACATGTATTAATTTCTGCATGAGAATTAATCTCAAACACAGAAATTCAACATACATCTTATGCATGTTTTTTATTAAAAACCAAGATAGCTTGTTAACTTTCCTGTCAACAGCTGTCACATTCTATTCGAAAGAGTTGCAATATCCAATAGATGAAGTCAAACACAGAGCTATTTGACAATTCAATACCAATATTAGTTGTTGACAAACTGCCATTTTTATCAAAAATTTGCATATCACAACTCTTCCGATTCTTCTTTAGAATTATAGATAACACTACGCCAGATATGATTTTTAACCCATCCATGTGCAAATAGAATAATCACAAAATTATTTCAATCTTGTACGTGCTTTGACATTCAATTTTTGGCTCACGTTCGACATTACCCTTGTTTTCAAGGACACCACATGAGTGATGTTTAATTTACTATGACGAGTTTAAAATGTTATTGTTAGCGGCAATTTACGAAGACTGCTCTGTTTTGAAGTCACAGAACTGCACCAGTTGTGATCAATAACATGACGACTGGCTAGTAGGAAGGCACGTGAATAATGTCACACTGTACAGTAAATTGCCTCCTATCTGTCAATGCTTCACGCCAATAAAATTATATCATGTTTTCATAAACTAATATCAAAGAGGAAAAGCTTCAGATAAGCATATGAGCAAGATATTTTATAAGTTTTACATTATGCAGAAAACACAGCTAAACAAGCATACGGTGTTGCTGAAATGGACTCGAAATCAGCATAAGAATATCTCGTAATTTGCAAACAAAAGCGATAAACATTCGTGACAAACCAACAGAAAACAAGGCAATCAGTTCTCATTTTCTCCTCACGACATTATATCACAACACAGGATGATGTTTCACATTGCTTACGGTTTCTAAAATATTGCTTAAGAAACGATCACGTTAAGATTACCTAGCACACATACATCGTCAATTTGCATGGCGATTCGATCTCACTGACCGCAATCTTTATGTACCAATGAAAAATAATATTGAATTTCTCGGCTTAAAATCTTAGCTATGCGTCTATGCTCTTGACCTTTCCATAAACCGTGTGAAGCGTCTACGAAATATAAATACACTAGTTTTAAATAGCGATGGGGCAGCGCAGCAAGAACACGCACGAAAGTTATGCTAAAATAAAACTACTCCGTTCAATTGTAAAACGACGATTTCTTTGAACACAAACATCAGCTAAACTTATGCATTAGCAATGGCTAAATTACGCGCAATACAAATCATTTTACTTGCTCTTTTCCTTTTCTCTAGCAACACAGAAAGTTTTATTTTCATTTCTTCACTACATTCCGCCCTTACCTGGTAATATCTTTTCAAATGTTTGACAAGTGTGTCCAAATTCTGCATCCGCAAATTCACATCTCCGTAAACATTTTGATGAATGCGAGTTAAAGTGAAGTAAGTTGGATCGCTGCAAGTAAAAAACATAGATTAACGGAGTTATTAATACCGTAACGAAACTGAAATAACCAAGTTTAAAATGAAGAGAATTTAATGACTGTAAATGCGAGAAAACTCTGAGAAATTTTGTCTCCCGTGGCGCAGTTCAAAGTGAAGGTGAATGAGTCAGACAATCTAAGAGAAAAATTGTACTTACATGTCCATCATGATTTCGTTAAGAAAAACGCCATCAGCCAAGTCGGTGATCGACTCTATGAGTGCACTTCCCTTGAAAGTATTATTAGCCTAAAATAATGACACAAATTTTTAGAAAAAACATAAACTTAGTCCGTCGATCGCGCGAAATAAGTTTATTGCTCAAAGTGACCTGTGCTTCATCAACAGTGTTTGCAAACAGTGAAACACACGAACACAGCAAATCTAAAGAAAAGATCTCCCTACCCAAACGACAAGCGGACTTTGAAGAAAACCTTCTGCGGTCGCCATGCTTTCAAGCGATCCAGTAAATTCGCGGCAAGTCGGCAAACTATACTCAATGCAGTACAGTAACGGTATGGTGTCAAAGCCACCGGTCAGATCGTCTTCATCACATTGATGTTCACACACATCCAGGCGATCAAAATATCACCTTATGAATCGAAATATTTAATCCTGAGAGATGTCAAACTTGTGTTTGACCCATAAGAAACGCTGCAATCACTTAGAAACATACGCCGGACGTAAATCCATGAGGAATTTTTGCTTTTCTTTCAAAACGACTAATTTAATGTTAGCGCGCCAGCGACAAAATGCAACAATTTGCTTTCCTCTAGGGTGGGGTTATCATGTTTGTATTAGTTCGGCTCACAATACTTCAAGGTGGTTGTACCAATTTCGTTCCTCTTCCATGAGCCAAAACTGACAGCTTTTACATTCCTCGCCTTAAAAAACGCAGTTTTTCAGTCAGAAATTATCTCCTACTTATCAAAGAAAACTGTCTTCGTTCCCCCAGTGTGCCCCACTTAGGATAATTTTGAGCTGCATGTGCCCAACAGCCTTGCGTTACATGCGTTTGATTGACAGATGTAAGTAATGGCATTCAAATGGCCAATTCAAAGGAGGATTCAGATATTAACATGTGCAAGTAAATTTCTCGCTGCAAACAAAAACAATATTAAGGCTCTTGTTTGTTTCCGACTGGTTACGGTTGCTATTATTTACCCAATATAGGAATATTGACAAGGTTGCACATTCCGGAGCGATGAAGTAATTTATATCTTTCCACCCACTTCCGACTGACGACACAGCCGTCGTTTTCCTATGAATTCTCTTTCTATTGTTCCTTCGTTCTACTTATGGTAGTTTTATTTTTCCTTCTCTTTTTCTTTTTCTGTATCTCGTATGTTAGGGAAAATATAACTTCAGCGCGATTATCAATAGATTTAGAACTGCAATCAAGGAAGTAGAATAGCAATGGCATGGACTACTGGATTAGAACCGTGGAATGAAATCATATTATGCTGATGGTTTCCCTCGCATATTTTCTTCCGTTCCTCTATCGTTTCAAACTGTCATCCTTTTTTTCTATGAGGTTTTGGGCCAGTAATTTTTGTGCAGCTTTCCTCTCGTTTTGAAATGAAAACTGAAAAGTAACGTCAAAGCACCGAAACAAATGCTCGCATGGGAAACAGTAGAGTACTATAAGGTACATCGTACGATTCAAGTGTGATTCTGATACGCAAAATTAACTTCCATAGATCTTCAGACTGCGTAGCTGGCGGGGTCATAGCGCACGAGCGCTACGGCAGAGCCTTGAGCGGCGAAACCACAAAGACCACAAGGGAAGTGCCTCGCCACTGTCGCTGTAGTAAAAAGACAAAGCACTCGCGTGCCTGCAGATACTCGGAACTAATGGACTTTTGCGTCTTTGCAGATTACCAACATAATTGTGGAAGGTTGATCTTCGCCCTCCTGGTGCCGATATAATACTTTGCTTCTCATGTCAAAGGGTAGACGACACCTAAAATAGCGTTTTTTTGACGCACTAATAAAAAAGAACAAACGTTTTCTGGAGCTAGAAGTCCCTTGCACGCCACTTACAAGTCGGAACGTTCCTGCTGAAATGAACTCCTTTGCCTGTCTAAGCTGTCTTTAAACAACATTCAAGAAACGTTTGTGCTCTTTTAGACTGAATTCCATTCGGAAGCATCTCAGTTAGCTTGGTTGGCTTTATCCTATTATTTTTCGATAATTTGACTTCTCCCGGCGTTATTTTCACAGCTGCTTGAGTTGTGTACATAACCGCGATGATCACTCGTGTCTTTACAAAGACAACTTTGTGGTTTTTGAGTGCTAGAAAAAAATCAACATTTTGGTTAACGTGGCCTTGACGTACTGAATCAAGACGGTCGTGGGTGGCTGTAGGTTATTACGTATTCAGTTATATCTGATGATTACATAGTGGTAAACCATAAGTATAAGATTTAATTTATCTCCCGAGTAGAAGTATGATTGATGCACGGTAGGCTTTCTTCTTACGGAAGTTACACAGTTGAAATCAGACTAGCCTCATGACCCTAAAAACAATCGCTGTGGGTCATATAACAACCAGAAATGAAAACAAGCAAGTAACAATATTAACCACGACACCAGTTAGGCTGATTAAAGCGCGTTTTTTATTATAACTTTCAGTGCGTCGATATTGTGAGCGGAAACTGGAGCGAGACCGTGCGATGGGTCTTGGAAAATCTTCCCTGAGTAATTCAGTTCACCTGACCAACAAACATCTACGGAAAAAGCTGAAAAACAACCAGAATTCATTGCCTTTAAGAAGGTATGGATTGGGGCGCTGGAGTCTCAGCTCAGCTACATGTATCAGTTATCAGAATTACTTCAGATCTCAGACATGATCTCAATGTCAGTCATCAGTTGATTATTAAATTCTCTGCATGGGTTGATAAAACGAGTCATTCCTCAGTCGACCAGTTTTCAGTTATCAGTTTTACCCCTATCAGACGCTTCTTTTGCTCTCTGTTATACAATCTATGGAACACAAACATACTGTATTGGCGCCCTTAAGTCCTCTAGCTGCGCGTTTTTAGTTCCTTTTCTTCAATATATTAGAGGGAGGGAGGTTCAATACAACCTTGATACGAACAGGTCAGATACCTTAGATATTTCAGTCGTGATGTGCTTTGGAAGCGACCATTTGTTTAAAACTATATTTCTTCTTCCACCTTTGCACTTTAATCTCACTGGATCGGAAATTGCATAGTTCCTGTTTTGACGTCTGCTTGCTTCACTAATCGTTTTATTGCAACCCCAAAAAATGTAGAGTTGAGTGTTAAAATAACATGTCTATGTTGTTTCACCGTTCGTAAATATATAAGCCTGGTTTTTACTGAAGACCTAAACGTTAAGACTCAAACCTTACCTTCATTTCACCCAGGAGGCCGTTTTTCATAGTGAAACTCAAGAATATAAAACCCAAGCGCAAGTCCGGGGGGGGGG